ATTTATAACAGTTTGACATCAGTGTCCACTTCTTCCCTCCTTCTTCTCTCTCCCTCATGTAGATTGTTGTACTAACCTTTTAAAAATTCAAGAACAACCTTTTAATTTGCTCGTTCTTCAAATTTGATCCCTTTATTTTTTTACGATTTATTTCTCTTGAATAATTTATTGAAATTGATCTTCATTCTTTTGATTGTTTTTTTTAATCATTTTTTCAATTGATTTTGTTTTATGATTTGACCCTCCTTTGCTTTTTATTTTTTTTCCTATCAGATTTAATTCGTTTTTTATTATCAATTTTTTTAGTATTGACAAGTTTTTATTTTAAATTATAATTAATTTTATTTTATAATTTCACCATCCTTTGTTTTTTTTCTTATCAAACTTAATCCTTATTCTTTTAATTGCAAGTTTTTTTTTGCTTTGATAAATTTTTAAAATTCATATTCTTAAATTGACTCACAATAAACTTCTTAATTAAACTTGAATTCAAGATTTCATGGGTTACGAGTTTTTAAAATTTGACTAAATTTAAAATATTTGTCGGGGTTTGCTTAGTTTTTACAAATATTTTTTAATTTCACCCCTATAATTTTTTTATCTTTAAAATTTGTTTCTCATTCTTTTAATTGTTATTTATTTTATTTGGCATCTTTTTTTAATTTTGTTTTGTAAATTGCATCGTTCTTGGATTTATTTCTTTTAAATTTTATCCTCACTATTTTTTACTGAATTAATTGAGAATTAGGTTTTTTGATTGAATACGACTCAAATATTTCTCGGACTGCTACTTTTAGAGATTAAACTAGGTTTAAGATGTTCATCAACCTGTTTTTTTTTCTACACTGATGTTGTCTTGATTTTTATTCTTTTTAATGGTTTTTTTTGTTATTTTTCATGTTTTAATTCTATTGGTTTAACCTAGAGCAATTTCATTTTATTCAACTTCATATCATTTTTTAATATATAAATAATCTATAAAATTATAATTTTTTTTCAATTTCACCGCCTATGGTTTGTTTAATCCTTCAAATTTGGTTCTTATTTTTTTAATTACAATTTATTTTTCATGGGAGCACTTTTATTTTTAAATTTTTTTATATTTCTTGGGTTTTTTTGTCAAAATTTTTCTCCATTCTTTTTATTGATATTTTTTTCTTTTGCAATTTATTTTTCTTAATATTTTTTTCTTAATTGTTTTCTTCAAAATTAATTTTTTTGAGAGTTAAGTTCTGTGATTGAACTTATTTACATGATTTCACAAGTCATAGGTTTTAGGTATTAGACCAAGTTTAGAAGGTTCGCTCGAATTTGCTTGTTTTTTTTCCTTTCATGTAGCTTATTTTTCTTAATTTTTTTTTCTTTGCGTTTTGTTTTCTTGTTTTTTGAGTTTGATTTTATTTGGTTATCCCACAATAACTTTCTTCAAGTTCACCCTTACCATTTTTAATCTATAAATAATCTATTAATTTATAAATATTTTTCAATTTCATCCCCTATAATTCTTTAATTTTTCAAATTTGAAACTTATTATTTTAATTACTATTTATTGTTTTGGGATTTGTTTTTTCAAATCTTGTTCTCAGATGTTTTTCTCTCAAATTTTATTCTTATTTTTTTATTACTTTTACAAAAAAAATTATTAATATTTTTTTAATAATTTCATCTTTTAAGATTAAGTTGGTTGATAATTAAACTTTTTAATTAAATTTGAGTCCATAATAAACTAAGGTTCTAGTGGTTTGCTTGGGTTTTCTTGAGTTTTTTTACTCTTTTTCTAGGTTGACTTTTTTTGTTTGTGAAGTTTTTTTTTTGTTTATTTTCTTCTATCAGGTCATTGGGCTATTTGATAATCCAGATAAGTTCAAAAATGTTGTTTTATCTTTTTTTCTTGTTGTTTTTGTTAGTTTATTTATTTATTGTTGTTATTTTTATTTTTCTCATATTATATAAATTATCACTTCAACCAATTACTCAAGATTTATTTTTTTTACACTAGCACTATTTTTATGTAAAAAAAAATAAAATTCTCTCTCCTATGTTTTCTCGGGTTTCATGCACAATGTGCGTTCTATAGTGATTTTCAATGTTCGATCATTTGCTAGGAATCATGTGAAAAAAGGTTTGACTTGGCACATGTAGAAAAAAAAAATAGCTGAGGAGGTGGTCTTTAATTTTTTAGAAAATAGCCAGACTCTGCTTGGATTTCTTTCAATTAGTAAATAGCCAAAATAGTACTTTATGAAGAAAAACTAATAAATTGGTGATATGAGATTTAACTTGTGATAAAGAAGAGGAGGATGAGGAGGAGGAGGAGGAGGAGGAGGAGAAACATTTAATAGAGAGATTAAGTTATAAAAAAATAAATAAATAAAATTAAGAATGCCAAATAGGGATTTTTAAAAACCAAAAGTACTACTTGTTTTGTTCAATAATATTAATTTACTCTCAACTTTTTGGTTGCATGACAATTTTTTTTTTTTGGTCAAGGGGGTTATTAAATTTTATTGTGATTTAATTTTTATTTTGTTTACATTGGATATTGTGTGGATCATCGGCTTATTTCGGCTATTAAAAAAAATTAATGGTGGTTTCGAGAGCAAAAACTATCTAGTTGGATGCTCTATTGAGATTCCCAACAGCAGTTAGAGTCAAGAAACTCTCACATGCATTGTCTTAATTACTACAACAGTTGCTATTTGCTTTCCTTCATTATTATATGACATAATTTAGCCATGAATATGGGACATTAGCCATAGCAAGCTATGCGTGCAACTTACTGCTTCTGCAACAACATTAGCTTATATTAATGGCTAATTGGTACGATATCTCCTGAATTATTGGTTAAGTTCAACTTAACCCTCATTTATTATTATTATTTATTTTAATCCCGCAAATTATCAGATCAAAGTAATGCACCATCTCTGTTTCAGTATATAATATGCTTCTATAGGAAGCCTAATGTGTTGCTTTGACCTATAGCTTAAGGAACTAAAATAAGAAGATCCGGACCAAATTGAATTGAACTAATATTACAGGATTTATTTTACCAATTACCATATTTTATTATTTAAGCTATGGGCTTGACTAACCAATGTGGCTTTCCTCGTATTTGTGTTTATGTTATGTATGTGTGTGTGTATATATATTCCTCATTAATGTTTTATTAATTAGTTAGTACCTCATGCATTTATTAATAAATAAATTGTCCATAGAAATTAAGTTGAGCGTACTCTCAATTATCAGTAATTATTATATAATAACTTCAAATCATTGATTACTTTACCTTCTTAGAAAGCACACAAGTAAATAAAGTAGTAATCAAAAAATTAAATTAAATTTAAAGGAGCTAACGATAACAAGTCGTAGAATAAAAGAAACCATTCTTTGAGAGTTATATTCACATAAACATCAGTTAGAAGGAGAAAATGTGCAGTAATACATTTTCACCGTGAATAGCGCTATGTTCACAGTTTTTTTTTTTTTGAATTTAACACAGTAAAAAAAAAAGCTAAGACAATGATCTAGTAAAAAAAATATATATTTAGAAAAATAAAAAAATTTGGTGAGTCTCAAGCAAATATAAAAAAAAGGGTCAACAATAAAAAAATATGATTTATATGCATTAAACTATTAATGCGTTAATTTCAAAATGGAAGCATACACAAAATAACTTGCAACACCTATACAGCCATGCATTTATTGCGGCCAGATTTTGATTTATGGTTTAGAAAAAAATGACTTCAAAACAACAAGAGAAACTCATAATTGTTGTCGAAAAGTATTTTCACTGCAAAAACCCTAATTCATATTTTATTTTTAATATTTTTCTCTAATTTAATGTGTTTCTTTGGAGGATTTGCACTCTTTAAATAGATAGAAAGGAAAACCAGAATCTTAAATTAAATAAGAAAAACAACATAAAATAAAAAACTAAAAATAAAAAGGAAATAAACATAATAGATTCAGACATATCTTCCAAGCCTAGTTCGAAGATCTTTCACAACTTTATTAGTTTAGAACTAGCCTACATCCATGCAGTACTACGTGCTGCAGCTTTATACTTCTCTCAAAAGCACAAATTCTTGGAATTTATCATTTCACATTACTTGGCGACCACCTCTACCAGAGTTTCGAAATTTTTGGTAGAGCTACCACTTGATCGCACAGCATCCAAAGCAAGACCTTGGAGGTGTTGAAGTTTCTTTCTCATTTTGTTTACTTCATCGGTTGATGACATCACAAGGCTCAAGGCTTTCATCAAACCTCCTTTTGTGATTCTTCCTCCTTCAATCTCGATACCTGTACCCCATACTGCCTCTATAGTCCTCGTGTTCACTGTTTGATCCCCAAAGAATGGCCTACAAATCATAGGCACACATCCAGCAATACTATCCAAAACCGAGTTCCACCCACAATGTGTCACAAACACTCCGATTGCTTTGTGTCGCAAGACTTTCAACTGCGGAGTCCATGAAACTACTTTTCCCTTCTCTTTAGTCCTTTCTAAGAACTCTTCAGGCAATTCTTCCTTAGGATCGCCTCTAAATGACCAAAGAAATGGCAACTGGCATTCCTTTAGCGCTTCTACTAACTCTGCTAACTCTTGGGGTGGCAGCGTTATCACACTTCCAAAACTAATGTACACCACAGATTCTTGTTTCTGCTTGTCCAGCCACTCCAGGCAACCGTGTGGATCAGACATGAACGGATCTGGAGATGTCAACACGAAGGGGCCGATGTGGAGAAACTTGGGAAGCCTTGACTTGAACAGATTCACCGCATCGGGGTCTAATTCTTCAAAAGAGTTTGAAGCAACAGCAGCTGCCCGTGGTAATGCTAATCCCATTTTACGCAACATTGCTGAAAATTGTGATTCCTTGACGTCAGGGAATAGTTCCTTAGGTATGTCAGAAATACGTAGTTCGGAAAATCCTGGAAGAATGTCAATTGTTCTATCTTCGGGCTCTGCAATAAGATTAAGCAAAATGAATAAGTTATCAGACTATAAAGGATAGGATAACATAGATATTCCTATGCTAGGCAGACAACGAAGGAAAAAAGATAATATCAATGATGATGTTGCCTAGGCCATTCTCGCTCAAAGTCTTTCGTAGCTAATCTAGATCAGGCGCAGTATAATGCAAAAGGTGGTGTTTCCATTCTGTATCACTGTAGCTAGAAACTTAAAATTTACATGTCATCCAATAACCAAGAAAACGCAATATTCCTTAACCGATGCTTACCATTCCTGCTCCATATCATATAGTATAATAGGCGATCATTTTCATGTAATCGCAGTACCAATATCGGCATTAACGATTCATGCTTCCTTGAATGGTAGGAAATAAAAAGCAAAAGGGAATGAAATTTTGGCCATGATTAAATTTGAGGGAAGAACATAAATAACTAGCATGAGATGTTTTAGGCACCCATATATAAATAGCTTGAATTAAAATCCCCTTTATACAGGCTAGCTAAGGCCAAGAGGCCATGCATAGTTTGATGAAATCCCAATTCCAAGATTTATTTTCTTCCCAAAATTGGTTCTTTCATTTTAAACCTTCTGATTTACAATTCAAAAAAATAATATTAAAATTAATTTTTTTAAAATACTCATCTAATTCTTTTTTAAAAATTAAAAACACTTTGAACAAAATTGAATTTTATATTTTTTAAATATGTAAATTCAATTTATTTATCATTTGAATTCAAATTAAATTATATAATTGAGTTCACTTAAAATAGATAATTAATTATTACAAATAAATTCTGCTCTGACCGTGGAAAACCATGTAGATGCCATTAAATGCATTGTAACTGTACCTCTTACCTAGGATGATGAAGATTGGATCTCGATCCCGTCGAGTTCCTTAATTTAGAAATCAGTAAAAGCACAACGTGTGTTCTAGCCATTCATTGTGTAGAAAACTCTCCATTCCCTTGATACGTACGAGTTCTTTTCACTTGAAAATACGCTAACAAAATAGCTATATTGTTGATGACCAGCTCAACAAGGAAAATATAAAATCTTACCATTAACAATGCTTCTCGTTTTCTGGTGGACTAAATCGGTTTCAAGGACCAAGAGGAGGGAACGAGAACTTGAGGTCCAAAGGGGCACCCAAGTGATATGCAATTCCTGAGCCAAATCAGCTGCAAACCAAAGAAATGCATCACTAACGATGCAAGTGAAATCCTTCCCTACCTCTCTCACCGCCACTTCCATTGCTTGCTTAAAATTCCCCGGCGTCGCCTTAAAAAAGTAATCCATTACTTCATCGAGATTCCCTGCAAAGTTGTAGTTCTCAGGCAAACCATCGTTTACGTTGTACGGTTTTATGTTTTCCAGCCCGTCTTCCTTGGAGAAAAGTTTGCTGTTGGACTCCTTTGTGCTGAAGAATGAAAACTTTGCATATGAAGCAGAAGCAGAAGCAGACAGCCTCCTAACGAGAGAAAGGAGTGGAGGACCATGAGTTGCTACGGGGAATGCCAGCACAGCAATATGTTTCAAGTCATTTCTAGCTTCTGACATGATTAATTTGGTTTGCTTCAACAATGGAGGTATTAGATGCGCTTGATCATATGTTTGATTACTTCTTGGGAATCAAGTTAAAGAGGAAGTAAAGAGGCTTTCTACAGCACAAAGAAGACAAAAAAGCACGCTAAATACAGTATCTAGTAACACGGTTAAAGTCGTGTTTGGATGATAAAAAAAACACATGAAGAAGCGACAAAGAGATGGAAGTTCAACAACCGTAGTTGTATAATTTACTTTCAAATCGACCAAAGGACAAACTAGGTGTGGAAGTAACGGCAAGTCATAAAGCCCATCTCGTGAGGGACAATTTTCGAAACATAACTAAATTCAGTATTTTGTTCTTAATTTCAATAATTTAGTTTTCGAGAAAAAGTATTATTTTTTTATCATAATTCTTACTTTTTATTTATTTTTTTATGTTCATGGAACAAATATTTTTTTATTATTATATGTTGGTTATTTAAACACAAATTTGATGCTTTTTTATTATTATATGTGGGTTATTTCAACATAAATTTGATGCAATTAAAATAAATATTCGTATAAACACAAAATTTAAATTAATTGAAAAAAATGTATTGCTTAAGCCGAAATCCTCTCTTCATTATTAATTTGTTTCTTTTTAATTTTAATATAAAATGTTAATTTTTTTATGAAAGGCATGCTTTTCTACTTAAAATGATTTACAAGGAGATTTTAAATCAATAAAGAAAAAAAAAATTTTTAACCTTTTTTATGTGATTACATCGAATCATTGATGAATATTTAGTTAAAAAACATAAAAAAGATGAAAATAAATAAGAAATAATATATATATATATATTGTTTATATTAAATATTTATATGCAGTTTTTTAATATAAAAAAGACTTTTGTATACAGTTCCATATATAATTATGTATTAAAATAATAAATATTATTTAAAAATCATAGCGTAATAGAATAATTTTTAAAATATTATTTTACTTATTTATTTAAATGAAATTATATTTTAAGATTTCAAGGGAAAAAAGAGGAGAAAGAAAATATAGCAAAGGCTTGTCAATTCCAAACCCGTGAGCATTCATTTTAAAGCCTAAGTCCAAGATTTATTTATTTATTTATTTATTTGAAGATTGTGGACGAAGCCGTGTCCACCTAAAATACCTTCCCGTTCTGATGTGAAAAAAGGTAGGAAAGTAGGGATCGTAGCTGCAAAAACCAATCCAGAAGCTTAATGAAAACAAAATAGGGCAATGCATTTATCTGGTCCCATTCGAGCATGGAAAAATCCTTATGAAGGGACACCAGGAGAGAGGCAAACACAACGGATAGTCAAACTATATTTTATACTGTGAAAATTATTAAAAAATTAAGTTTAAAGTATAGTTTTTGTAAAGTAATTTTTAATTTTATAAAACTTTATTTTTATATTTTAAAAGTATTTTTTAAAAATTTAAAATATTTTGGTTTTTTTATTTCAAATTATTTTTTTATATTTTTAAATCATTTTAATACACTCATCTTAGAAATAATTTTAAAAAATAAAAAAATTATTTTAATACATTTCTTAATAAAAAATATTTTTTAAAAATAACCATAATCAAATATTTTATATATTTATTTCACTGCATATAAATCTCAACAATAATACTTACTATATATATATATATATTCAACTAATCATAATTAATTATATTTTTAAATTTTAATTTTTTAAAATCACATCAATAAAAATTACCTAGCAAACAAATAGACGTCGGCAATGTTGGGAAGAAACCCAGGTGAGGCAAAGCGAGCGACTTATGCACACGGTGGGGTAGCTGTCCTCATCATGGACAAATACAGCCCTGCCCCACTTCAGCTTGGAATTTTCTTCTTTCTCCCCCTTTTTTTTTTTTTGGGAAAACTAACACTTAAAAAAAATTAGAGAGAAAATGGCGTACTTTTATTTTTTTTAAATAACATATATTTTACATAATTCTTATTTGGGTCGTAATTTTTTAAAAGTTACTATTTAGAATAATAATTTATATAAAAACTATTTTTCTTAATCATACTATTGATAAAACTAATACATTTCCTTATCATTATAAAATACATAAATAATATCAAATGTTTTATTATATTATATTTTTTTTAATTAATAATTATTTTTATTATTTATAATTTTACGTGTTGATTTTAAAATTTTCTTATATATTATACATTTTCATACTTGATTTATATAAACATGATGTAATATTATCAAAAAATAGATAAATATATGAACAAATTGTTTAAAATTTCAAACCATTCATTAATAACTAAAAAATAAAAAAATAAATAATATTTAGAAAAAAAAATGTATTAATTTGAGATTATAATTAACAAATTAAAATGATGTTAAAATATCACATTGAATTATAAGTCTAAAGTTTGATAATTTATGGACTTATTTGGCTATTGATTGTGGTATTTTAGAATTAGTTTTTTTTTGTGAAAAGTGGATTTAAGACACAACCACTATTTTTATTACCAGTTGCTTAGTTGTTTTAATTTTAACCAATTGCTAATAATAATAGCAATTATTTAATAAATTAATATTATCATTAGCCGTTATTAATAAAATCATATTTTCTAATAGCAATTCCATCTAAATCATATTTACCTTCTAAGTACTGTTATTTTTTTAAAAAAATTTATTAAACTGTGGTGGTTTCATTAAAAAAGAAGAAGCACACGACAAAGAGATGTAGTTCAACAACCATAGCTGTATTTTCAAAGTGACCAAGGGACAAAAATGAATAACCACCAGTCATGAAGCCCATCTCGTGCGGGACAATTTTCAAAACATAACTAAATACAGTTAATTATTTTTTTATAATAGGAGGTGGGAGGAAAGAAAAGACTGAGATTTTTTTTTATTATTATTATTTAATGATTTTCTCTTTTCTTCCTAAATTTCAAGAAAAGAAAACCAATAATAGGAGGCGGGAGGAAAGAAAAGACAACAAAAGAATAGAAAACCAAGCAACAAAGAACCAACAGAACACAGCAATCATACTAACCAATGAATAGGAGAGGCAAAAAGAAACTGGGAAACAATGGAAGCTGAAAACATGAAGAAAAAGGCAGCAAACAATGCAAAAGAAAAAACACAAGACAATTTTGAGGAGATAACAAGAAAACCTAACA